TGTCATTTTATTGTTACTGGAAACGGACGCAGTCCAGATGCCCGCACTTCTAAATGAAGGTAGGTGAGGTCCTTGATGCTAACTCTTCTGATGTCCCTTTTAGAGGTGAAATCATTAAGAGTTACATCAGATACCGTTTGATCTAATGTAACACTGGGAGAGAAGTGAAAGGAAACATGGTGTAAATATGACAAAGCCAAACTAATGGAAATCCCTTGAGTACAACCCCAGGGACTGGAAGTGCAGAAGAGTACACTGGCCCTGCCATTCCTGGACGTGGGACAGGAAGGAAGCAGAACTCCCAGGCATAAGGGGTTGGGAGCATATGATCTATTCCAACCTGCTGAAGGCAGAGGAAAACTAAGCTAGGGAGGACTATGTCAGGATCACACAGCTGATGAGAAGCAGTTTAGGCAAACCCGAACCTGCTAATTAATTCCTAGTCCATCTCCTGGGCCTTCGAACCAGGTTGTATTTGTTACAACTCCTCTCCTTTTTTACAACTCCTCCTACACATTCCATGGGGGCTTCAGCATTCTAGTATATACTGACACAAGCCCACCCCTCAAGTTTGGGGAATAGGGAAGTGATTTACATTCTATAATGAGGCTAAGGTAGAAGATGCTTTTTAGGAGGTACACACAAAAAATATGTGTGAACCCTTTTAGTAGCAATATGCAATATTTTGTCAATCAATTGACTTCACAGTGATTGCTTAGGACAAGATAAGTTACATATGTAAGATTTTTAAAAAGTGAATTGATTTCAAGAAAAACATTAAGCAAATTTAGTACCGTTCTCTATAGATTGGCAAGTACCATTCTAGAAAGATCCTCAGCAGGTTTTCCAAGTTGGTGTTGCCAAATGAAACATCTGACTTAAAACTGGTTATTTTACTCACAAGATCTACAGCCATGCATGGAATCCATATCTTCATTTGAGAATATTGTGTTTACAATAGAATGTTATTCAGCCATAAAAAGGAATGAAATTCTAATACATACTACAACATGGATGAATCTTCAAAACATTATCCTGAGATAAGCCAGCCACAAAAGGACAAATATTGTATGATCCCTCTTACATAAAGCATCTAGAATAGGCAAATTCATTGGGACAAAAAGCAGAATAGAGGTTACAAGGGGCTGGAAGGTGGAAGAATAGGCAGTTATTGCCTAATAACCATAGAGTTTTTGTTTGAGTGATCAAAAAAGCTTTGGAAATAGATAGTTGTGATGGCTGCACAATACCATGAATGTCATTAATGCCACTAAATTGTATAAAATGATTAAAATGAAAATTTTGTTATATATATATTTTACCAGAATTTTAAAAATTAATAATGTAATATGCCATAAACCATTGAATTGTATACTTTAAATGTGTACATTTTATGAAATGTAAATTATATCTCAATATAGCTGTTTAAAAAAACAAAGAATATTTATGTATAAAGTCAAGAATATTCTTGCTGAGCGAGAATACTGTAGACAGTGACCTATGAAAATTCTTCTTAACTATGGAAATGGACCATCATTCCCCCTGAAGAGTCTCTCAAGAAAAAGGCATGATTATTGCCATTGGTCTATCGCAGGGAGGTTGGCTAAAAGTTGAATTTATCAGGAATCTTGATAATATGTCCCTCCTGTATAATTGCCCCATAAAAGCTATCTGGGAAGTTCCAGATTGTATTAATTGAATCATCACTAAGAGATTAAATGTTCTCTGGAATCAAAACGAACTTATCTGCTGTTACAGGTCCAGTTTCTAAATTCTAACGTGTGGAATTTGAAAATTAAGTTTCAAATCATCATCCAATCAATTTATGTGATGCAAGAGCATATTGTCTACAAAAAGCAATAGTTTGACCTCCTCTTTTCCAATTTGGATACCCTTAGTATTTATCTCTTGTCTGATTGCCCTGGTTAGGACTTCCAACACTATGTTGCATAGAAGTGGTGACAGTGGGAATCTTTGACTTGTTCCAGTTCTTGGTGGAAATGCTTTCAACTTTTCCCCTTTCAGTATGATGTTGGGTGTGGGTTTATCATACATGGCTTTTATACTTCTGAGATATGTTCCTTCTGTGCCTAGTTTGTTGAGGATTTTTATCATGAAAGGATGATGGACTTTGCCAAATGCCTTTTCTGCATTTATTTAAAAGATCATATGGTCTTTGTTTTTGCTTTTGTTTATCTGGTAAATTGCATTTATTGATTTACGTATGTATGTTGAACCATCTTGCATCCCTGGGATGAAGCCCACCTGTTACTAGTGGATTATTTTTTTGATGTGCTGTTAATTCGGTTTGCTAACATTTTATTGAGGATTTTTGCACCTATATCCATAGAGGATATTGGTCTGTAGTTTTATTTTTTGTTGTGTCCTTTCCTGGCTTTGGTATTAAGCTGATACTGGCTTCATAGAATGAGTTGGGGAGGATTCCCTCCTTTTTGATATTATGGCATTAATTCTGTATTATGGCACCAGATCTTCCTTGTAGGTCCAACAGAATTTAGCAATGAATCCATTTGGTCCAGGGCTTTTTTGTTGTTGTTGCTGGGAGTTTTTTTATTACTGTTTTGATCTCACTGTTTGTTAATAGTCTGTTCAGGAGTTCTATTATATTTTTTCCTGGTTGAGTCTTGAGATGTTGTGTATTTCCAGGAACTTGCCCATTTCCTCTATGTTCTCTAGTTTGTGTGCATAGAAATTGATGTAGTATTAATGGATAATTTTTTTTTTCTTTCTGCAGTATCAGTTGTAATGTCACCATTTTCATTTCTGATTGAGCATAGTTGGGTCATTTCTCTTCTGTTCTTGGTTAATCTAGCAAGAGGTCTGTCAATTTTGTTTATCATTTCAAAGAACCCACTTTTAGGTTTGTTAATCCTTTATATTTTTTTCATTCATTTAGTTCTTCTCTGACCTTCTGTATTTCTTTTCTTCTGCTGGCTTTGGGTTTGGTTTCATCTTATTTTTCTAGTCCCTTGAGGTGTGACATTAAGTTGTTGATTTGTGATCTTTCTATCTTTTTGATGTAGGCATTGAAGGCTATGGATTTTCCACTGATGATGCTTTTGCTGTATTCTAAAGGTGTTGATAGCTTATGTCCCCTTTGTTTTATTCCTTCCCTATATCTTAGTTTCCTATTCTAGAAAATGGAGATAATGTGACTCTTTCCTCAAACAGACAGGGTAATATGATGAACAGCATAATATTACTGCATATGGCAAATGTTCTGTGAGTAGTAGTTAAATGCATACTTATAAATAAAGCAACATAGAATCTAGAGAAAGAAGAGTTGGTGAATAAGATATTGCCAGGGTATCTCTATCAGCTAACAGGTAATCCTGTTCTTGCAAAGGAGTATTCCACGGAGAATAAGGTATAAGTCTCCTGATTCTATCATTTTAGGATGAAAAAGCCTAGAAAACATCCAAATACCTTTGTTATAAAACAAAATTGATTATTATTACTATAATACTAATATTAATACTTATTATACACTTATTATGTACCAAGCACTTTGATACATACTTTTTTTTCAATTATCCTGGTTAATCCTCCCAACAACTCTATGAAATAAGTACTCTTAGTATCTAATTTTCTAGATCAGTTAATCAAGTCTTAAGAGGTAACAGGCCTGAGATCACATAGAGAATAATAGAGCCTAAGAATCAAAACCAAGGCAATTTGGCCTGTAAACTCAATAACTGTGCCATCATCCATACTCACAAATCTTGTGGATGATTAATTTACTTTTCCAGCTACCCTGACACCAGGAAAGGTAGTCCCTAGAAAACAAATGTGAACAGTTTTGGTAGCTCCCTGACCTCTACCCCTCACCCAGATATAAATAACATACTAATCTTTTGCTTTGCAAATCAGGTTCTTATGGATGAACTAATGAGATAATTTCTAATTTGTGAGTAGAGAAATAATAACATCAAATCAACACACATGGAAAGCTGAAGATATTTCACCCACAGTAACCAAAGTACAGTTACCCTGAGACTTAGCCTAGGAGAGCCTAATGGTTCTCAGGTGACCATTTCCCCAACCCACTGTTTACTATAAACACTGGGCTGCACACCAAGCCTTCCATGTGCTTGTGACAGACATCCAAATCTTCCTGCTGCTGTAAAAAGTGAAGATCACTTCCTGAAAACGGTCTCCCAGTTGGAGAAGGGCATAGGTCCCAGAGTGCTGTCAGGACAGAGGAGGCAGAAGCTGACTGCCTTGGGTGTGAGCATGTGAGGAGAAGCAACTCTATTAACCAGTGGTCAGAGACGCTTGATGAGAACCACAGAGCCTAATATTGACTGTAAAGTGCCTAGCTGCTTGTGATTGACAGATGTCACTCAACTTTCAGCCCAGGTGGAGCAGAGATAATAAAAAACATTGTCCTTAAAGAAAGCATTCTAAACCATTCAACCTTTCTTTTGGAAATGTGAGGTTTCTTCCTAGAACATTAATAAAGTATAAAGAACAACTAAAAGATGGAGAAAGACATAAATAGATCAACAATTTCCTGCTTCTTCCTCCTGAAGCATACACTCAAACACATGGTGCCCCTGTGCAGACTCCAGAGGTCATGAGGATCAAATATAAATTCTGAAAGTTGAAAAGGGGGAATCCATTTCAAATGACTTAGAGGATAACTGTCACTGGAATTAATATGGTTGGAATGTTTAAAATTGCCACAGGTTCCTTCACTTTTGAAAGGTGTCAGGCCCCTGTCTTGAACGCTGAATGTCTGTCTGTGATACTACAATGAAGGGTTGTGCTATCACAGACAGTTCCGGGCTAAGGAAAGCTTATTTAATTTACTCAACCACACATAGAAATTGGCAAAAATGAATCCAAAAGGTTAAGCATGGGGCATGATTCTTATCTCTCTCCATTTCCTATAGTACTATATGTCCCATTAAATTTTCTTTTCTCCAAAGTGCCTGAAAATATGTCTTGCGCTTTTCAGTGTGTACCTTTCTCTTCAGAACTCAGAACTCCTCTCCCAAGGAATAAAAACAGACTAGAGATAAGCAATAGAAATCTGCACCTCTCCAATGGGACAAAACTTCTGGAATTCGGGGAGAATAATCTGAAGTGCTCAATTGCCATCTGGGCAGACAACATGAGAACCAACCAAGATGACTGAAATCTTTGCAGCTGACATTCCTCCAAATAAAATGACCACCCCACTTGCAAATGAAAAGCACATTTCAACATGCTTCCTCTCAACATTAAAGGTAAATGTATGCATTACTGCCAAAAGATATATGTATCCAGATTTTCAGATTTCCTTTAGCGTGAATCGAACCTTTCCAAATAGTAGTAGTTCCAAAGTTTAGCACTTGGAAGATCACCCATAAATGTATTATGATCAAAGTAAATCCATCATTATGATGAAGGAAGAGTTTGACATGGCCAAATAGAGCTTTTCATTTAACCCTATAGAACAGGGGTCCTCAAACTTTTTAAACAGGGGGCCAGTTCACTGTCCCTCAGACCGTTGGAGGGCCGTTGGAGAGTGCAGGCCACATTCCACACATGCGCACTGTGGGCCTGGGATGAGTCGGCCACTAAGCAGGACAGGCAGTGGTGGCAAAAACACCCGGAGAGCCAGATAAATGTCCTCGGCAAGCCGCATGTGGCCCATGGGCCATAGTTTGAGGATGCCTGCTATAGAAGAAGACAGAAATTTTGCCACTAAAACAAAGGAGAACCTCCAAGTTGTAATATAATCTTATCTATCTCGGAGTCACCCATGACCAAAACAATTTACTTCTCTCTTTCAATAGTTGTACATTTTCAACAGATACATCTCATCCCTACGTACAATTCTTACATTCGAGCATACTAGTGTGTACTACATAGCAAGTGCTATCTATGCTCAATGCTGGGTATCCAAGTATGAACAAGGTGCCATCCCTGCCTGGGCTTACAGTCCCGTGGGGGACAAAACATTGTAAATATGTGAGAAGAGTTATGTAGAAGCTTCAGCAATGTGATACAGAAGAACATTTTATTGATGTTTAAAAGACTTTTTATCTTTTTATTGTGTGTGTGTGTGATAAAGTGACCATTATGCACACTTGGGGAAACAATGTCTCAGCAATAATCATCACTGAATTCAAATAGTAGATAACTCTATTTTTCAAATTAGAGAGGTTTCTCTATTTTAATTTTACTTTGAATTCCATCCTGCTGTAAACTGATTGTTTTTTGCAAAAGCATAAAAAGAGAGAGAATGAGATAAATTGATGATCATTAAAAAACCATTTTTTTGGAAGTTCCTTTGTGGTCCCAGATTATAATTTAATACATTGAAACATTTCATCAGGAACAAGTTTGCCTTGAAATCAACTTTCTGGAGAGGAAAAGATAACCTTAGAGTTACATTGCAAAGTAAAGATCAATCATTTGATGTTTGTAAGGTATCTTTCAAAAGAATAACATTGAACTTTTTTTTTTTTTCAATCCTGAAAGAGAGTTTATAAACTATTGTGATGGTTAATATTAGGTGTCAACTTGATTGGATACCTAGGTTGCTGGTGAAGCAGTATTTCTGAGTGTGTCTGTGAGGGTGTTTCCAGAGAAGATTGACATGTGAATCAGTGGACTGGGAGAGGAAGACCCACCCTCAGATTGGGCGGGCACCATCCAATCAGCTGCCAATGCGACTAAAACAAAGCAGGTGGAAGAAGGAAGATATTCAGCTTGCTTAGCTTCCCTTCTTTCTCTCTCTTTCTCTCACCCTTCCAGAGCAGGATGCCCTTTCTCCTCCTGCCCTTGGACATCAGACTGCAGGTTAGTTGGCCTTTGGACTCTGGGACTTGCACCAGTGGCCTTCCAGAGGCTCTCAGTCCTTCCCCCCAGACTGGGGCTACACTGTCGATCATGGGACTTCACCCTTCTAATTGTGTGAGCTTATTCTCACTAATAAACTCCTTTTCATTTATATTTATTTCCTATTGGTTCTGTTCCTCTGGAGAACCCTGGCCACTACAACTATAAAGAAGACTTTTCCTAAAATGCAAATGATAACAACATTATAAAATTCTATAAAAATGATCCTATAGCATTATGGTGAAAATTTATCAGGGCACATTTGTATATTCTGTAGAAGAAATGGGTACCAAGGGTTTAAGGAGGGGCAAATGGCTGCCAGCAAGAGTGTGCCAGCAGCAATAAGGCACAGGCCAGGTCCAACTGTGACAACACAGGGTCACAATTCACCCTAGGCAATTCTGCTTCTCCTGGTGAGCTTGCTAGAGAGCATGAATTTGTCAAGAGGATACTCTTTGGGGAGGGAACAGGGGCCAGAAGAATCTAAGAACCAAGAGCCATGAATTTGGAAGCTTGGGAGACAATCTGCAGAGAATAGGTCAGTACACATACTCCCCAAGCCAAGGGCTAAGTAGGTTACACAGAGAAAAGATGATGAAGGCCCCAGGACCCATCAGAGAAGATGTAAGTGCCAAAACACATAAACCAGGGAGTTCTCTGAGATCAGTTACCCTAATCTTTCATGTGATAGATAATGAAACTGGGGCCTACAAAGGGGAAAGGACTTATAAACTCTCCACAATACCATGGCCTGAACTTAAGCCTGAATAACAGGTGAGTGTACTTTCCATCACCCCACTTCACCCTCTTGGTTGAGAATCATCCACAAAACAATAAAGCATGTCAATGAGTGGAACAGACAGGGAGTATGAGGCTGGCATGAGTTAGTACTAGTGGTAAAGATTTCAAGCACTGAGAACCCAAGCAATTCCTGATTCTAAGTGGTACACATTTTAAGTTCATTTTGTAATTCTATCACCAACATGTTTGCTTCCCATTCATACTTGTCCTTCTCCAACAACTGTCTAAATCTATGTATACTGCTCAAATACCATTATGAATTTCTGGGTTTTTTAGTTATATTCCACCTATTTTTTTATTTCAGCATAATAAGGAGGTACAAATGTTAAGGTTACATGCATTGCTCTTGCCTTCCCTCCCCCCTCAAGACAGAGCTTCAAGCATGTCCATGCCCCCAACAATGCACAATGCACTTATAATGTATGTATATAAACCCATCCCCTCCCCCCACCTGCCCGACACCTGATAAATGTTTTTTTTTAAATAACATTTTGGTTAGATTTTATAATTTTGCCTTTATTTAGCAAAGGTTAGAGGTATGCCCTTCCCCTCCACACTGTTTGGTGCATCTCTCATGGACATGTGTCACATCAGTGAGTTTACATGATGGGTTTATCATGCAGAAATGTTACCTACCTTTATAAATATGTTATAAAAATATTGTTTTTGCTTGCCCCAAATTAATTCACTATTCCTCTGATAACAACCAGTGAATCAATTTTCTTTGGAGAACCAGTGCTTCCTATACTTCATTTAATATGGTTCAGATGGGGATGACTGCATCTCCTGGTACAAGGTATGAGCCTGACCTAGGTGATTAGTTTAAGGATTGGAATGCAACCCAAACCCAACCAATGAAAGTCAGTCTTGCAATTGTGTTTGAACTATCACAGAGAGTGGTTGCCAAGTGGGCAAGAAGTAATCCATTAGCTGATGTTGGCCATCTTTCCAAAACTTCACTGACACATATACTAAAATTGGAACAATACAGAGAAGATTAGAATACTCCCTGCACAAGGAGTGCGCAACCTCTTGAAGTGTTCCCTATTTTTAAGAGCGGGGGAAAAAAAAGGTGTAGAAACATATTTAATGAAATAATAGCTGAGAACGTCCCCAGTCTTGTCAGAGAGTTGAAGATCTACAAATAGGAAGCTCAAAGACTCTGAACTTAACAATGCATCTTAAGGAAATAAAAAAGCAAGAATAAACCAAACCCAAAATTAGTAGAAAAAAAATAATAAGATCAGTGCAGAAATAAAAAAAAATTGAGACTAAAATATATAAAATGTCACACAAAACAAAAAGTTTTTTCTGAAACTAGTGGTTTATTGATTTTTAAATTTTTTTTCAAAAAAACCAACTCTTTGTTTTATTGACATTTGGTATTGTTTTAGTGTCAACTAAGAAAAAAGAGTCAATCCCAACAGGTCCTCTCCAAGGCACATTATAGTCTACTTGTCAACAGTCAAAGATGAAGAAAGAATTCTAAAAACAGCAATAGAAAAATGGTCAAGTCACATATAAGGGACCCCCAATTACACTAAAAGAAGATTCTCAGCAGAATCCTTACTGAGGAGAGAATGGGATGACACATTCAAAGTACTGAAAGAAAAAGATATTCTGGCCAAGAATATTATATCCAGCAAAGCTGTCCTTCAGAAATGAAGGAAAAATAAAATCTTTCACAGACAAGCAAAAACTAAGGGAATTCATCACCACTGGATCAGTCTTAGAAGAAGTGATCAAGGGAGTCTTATATCTGGAAGAGAAAAGACAATAACCACCATTATGAAAACATAAGACTATAAAACTCACTGGTGGATCTGACACACAAAGGAGAAAGAAAAAAGAATCAAACCTATCATTACAGAAAACTATCCAACTGCAAAAATAAACAATAAGAGAAGAACAAAGGATATAGAAGGCAACCAGAAAACAATAAAATAATGACTATGCCTTCATCTATCAACAATAACCATGCATATAAATGGATTAAATTCCTCATTTAAAAGATATAGACTGACTAGATAAAAACTTCAATTATATGCTGCTTATAGGAAACTCATCTCATCTGTAAGACACATATAGACTGAAAATGAAGGATTGGAAAAAGACATTCCAGGCAAATGGAAACCAAAAGTGAGCAGGAGTAGCTTTACTTGTATCTGATAAAATAGACTTCAAGTCAAAAGCTATAAAAAGAGATAAAGAAGGATATTATATGATAATAAAGGGGTCAATTCAGCCAGAGACTATAACAACGGCAGATATATATGATCCCAACACCAACACCCTCAGATATACAAAGCAAATATTATTAGATCTAAGAGAGAGATAGACCCCAATACGATAATACTTAGAGACTTCAATAGCCCAGTCTCAGCATTGGACAGATCATGGAGACAGAAAATTTACGAAAAAACATTGGATTTAAATGTCACTATAGACCAAAGAATCTAACAAAAATTTACAGAACATTTCACCCAACAGCTATAGAATATACATTCTATATTTCATCAGCATGTGGAACATTCTTTAGAATTGACCATATGTTAATAAACAAAGCCTGTCTCAAAAATTTATAAAAATCAAAATCATACCAAGTACCTTATCTAGCTACAGTGGGATAAAACTAGGTATCAAATATAAGGGGGAACATTTGAAAACATACAAATACGTGGAAATTAAACAATATGGTCCTGAAAGACCAATGAGTGAAGGAAGAGATTAAGAATACAATTTAAAAATTTCTTGAAATAAATGAAAACAGAAACATAGCACACCAAAACCTATGGGACCCAGCAAAAACATTATTAGGAGGCTAGTTTAAGGCAATAAATGTCTATATCAAAAAACTAGAAAGATTTCAAATAAACAACTAAAAAGTACATCTCAGAGAACTAAAACAGAGAGAATAAGTACAATTCAAAATTAGAGGAAAAGACATAATACTAATAAATATCAGAGCAGAAATAAACAAAATTGAGACTAATAAAATACAGACAGCTAACAAAAGTTTTTGTGTTGTTGTTTATTTTTTTTTTTTTGGTAAAAATAAACAAAATCAACAAACCACTAGCTAGACTAAGAAAGAGATAAGACTCAAATAAAATCAGAAACAAAAAAGGAGATGTCAAAACAGCACAGAAATACAAAGGAAACTGAAATGGATACAAATAAGCTGAAAGGCATCCCATGCTCATGGATCAGAAGAATTAATATGGTTAAAATGTCCATACTACCCAAAGCAATCTACCGAGTCAATGCAATACCTCTCAAAATACCAATGAAATTCTTCACAAAAATCTTAAAATTAGTATAGAACCACAAAAGAGAAGACCGCAAATAGCCAACGCACTCTTGAGTGAAAAGGACAAAGCTCAAGGTACTGTATTACCAGACTTCAAAATATACTACACAGCTATAGTAACCCAAACAGCATGGTACTACCATAAAAACAGACACATAGATCCATGGAACAGAATAGACAACCCAGAAATTAACCCATTTATCCACAGCAAACTGATTTTTGACAAAGGTGCCAATAACACTCACTGAGGAAAGGACAGTCCTTCAAAATATGGTGCTAGGAAAATTAGGCATCCAGATGCAGAAAAATGAAACTACACCTTCACTTCTTGACCTACAAAAAAATCAACTCAGAATGGATCAAAGACATACATTTAAGACCTGAGACTATAAAACTACTAGAAGAAAACATAGGGAAATGCTTCAGGACACTAATCTGGGAAAATATTTTATGAATAAGACTTCAAAATCACAGGCAACAAAAGCAAAAAAATGGGATTACATCAAACAAAAATCTTCTTCACAGCAAAGGCAATAATCAACAGAGTGAAAAAGACAACCTATTCAATGAGAGAAAATATTTCCAACTATTCATCTAACAGGGGATTAATATCCAGAATACACAGGGAACTAAAACATCTCAACAGCAGTACACCAAGCAGCCCAATTAAAAAACGGGAAAATCATGTGAACAGACATTTTTCAAAAGATATTCAAATGGCCAAAAAGTGTACAAAAAACTTGTTCAACATTACTAATTATCAGGCAATGAAAATCAGTATCACAATGAGGTATCATCTCACTCTAGTTAGTATAGCTATTATCAAAAAGACAAAAATTAGCAAATGCTGATGAGCATGTGGATAAAAGAGAACTCTATACACTGTTGGAATATAAATTAGTATAGCCACCATGAAGAAGAGTATGGAGGTTACTCAAAAAGCTACAAATGGAACTACCATATAATCTAGCAATCTCATTTCTGGGCATTTATTCAAAGGAATATTATTTTAAGCCAAGTTTAAGGTGGTTTGTTATAAAACAAAAGTGAATTGATGAATTATTAAATTACACAATTTTTTCCTTCAGCAGTTCGAATTAAGTTTGTATCATTTATAACCAAAAGGACACAAAAAATACCCAGTGCCATACCTAGCATATTTGATACTCAGATCACTAATAACACCTCCTTCCTCCATAAAACAAGATTCTTTTCAGTCATAATCACATAATAATTAGTAATTATGATTTTTCCTTAATTTGTTTTTGTTTTGAACTAATTGACAATTAAAAAGAAAATTAAAATGTAAAGATATTATTCAAATCTATTAGAGTATTTCATGCATGAACTAAAATTTGTACTTACCAAAGAAAAATAGTACACTTCATGGTTTGTATTTTATTTTATTGTTTTAAATGTTAAATACAAGTAAATGTTCTAAATGGTCTCAGAGAATGATAGAGTTGAAATAAATTAAGATTTGTTTCTTCACCTTTTAATCATTTTGCTATGACTGTCTATTTCATATCTATTGTTCAAATGCAGAAATATGTACTCCCAAGGTTTTGAGACACTGTGCCTGATGTCTCTTCCAATAATCCCAAACCACTATGAATTTACTTTCAAAAACATCTAGCTAAGTTTACATGTGTGGAGCCTTCCTTAAGAGCTAGTTCTCCAAACTAACTTGCATGTAGAATAGAATGCGTTTAAAAGATGCATTTTAAAAAGTGTGTTAAAGTGTAATAAATATTAAAAATAATATTTTAAAATACAGCAACACTCGCAGCAATTATTTAGAACTCAGATTGACAATTTTTTTCCCCAGAGAATTATTATCACTCCCATTGCTTGAATTGCCCGTACATGGTGACAAGAGACTACACACTGAATTTTAGTTGGTTTTAGCACTGTTTTAAAACTCTCTGTGAAAAATGCATGCCCATATTGTCTGTGCCTACAGCAGACCACCCTTGGTCCCCTACCCTTGATATGCCAGTGCAAATAACACTGGAGATAAGCTTCCTTCTTGTTGTGAATTACATATAAAATAAAAATTCTCCAAAGGCCCCTGACTGAAGCACAATAGGAGCGTTGAATGAGTAGTTGGTATGTGGGAGAAAGTTCCCAACAAGATGATTTCAATATTGACCAATTATTTCTGAACTGTCTAGAAAGAGAAATAACAATAGTTGATAGCTCTAAGCATTTCATCACAGTGAAGAGGTAGAACTAACTTTTTGTTGGAGGAAAAGGTAATTAAATAACCTTTACTATGATACTTTAATACAATTTAGTGTAAAATCTTTCTAATTCCAGAAAATCATTATGGTTCTCTGGACCAAGAGAAGCCAACAAACAATATCCTATTTCCAATTAATTTCCAATTAATCATATACCACCTTTAAGGGGAGTTTCCTTTGTTAGAAATCAGATAAAGCTCCAAATTTTCTTGGCAAAGCTAAAGAAATTATACAATGAGTCACAGAACTGTAAAGATGGAACTCATTACATGATAGCATCGATCTATTTTAACCTATTCCCACTGAATGTCCATATGACTTGACTACATATTTTATTCATTTGCTTTATAGCTGGTCAGTTGTATCTTAGTAAATTCAATACCCTTCAAACTGAAAAATATCTTATTCTCTCCAATATGTGCCTTTCTGCTACATTGTATTCCATTTGGTATACTTCCTCATCAATTCTTTTGTGAGCTTCATTTCATTCAGCACAATGTATCCATTGTTAGGATTTATTTCTTTCAGAATGATTTAAATCTATTTTGCTGGATGCAGCTTTAAAGCTACTGTATGCACTGGGCCATGTGGTCTGGTTCACACTCCATCTTCTTGGTTGAGGAAAGATGTACTTTCCCAGCTCAGTCTGCTGTGAAATGGTGCTTGCTTTTTATCTACCCTGGCGTTGGTGGTGGACTGCATAATATGAATGATACGTAGTCATGTGTAGGAACGTCAGTGCCTTTCGGGTACTCAAGGCTGAGATGGGTAACCGCAGGCTCCAATATCCTTAGTATGAAGTCATCCTTCTGAATCTATGCTTCTAAAATTCTAGGTATCATTGCCAACAGAGGAAAAGCAGTGCACAGTAACCAAGTGGTCTTGTAAATCCTTGTTGATTTTAAGGACGGCCGAAGATTGCCTTCTTTGGTAGTATTAATGGTGAGTCACTTTTAATCTGGGTTGGCCCAAATGTTATGTTCTTTATAAGACTTCAACAGTTCATTTTGTACAATGCAATTATTTTATTCTTCATAGAGAGAAAACAAAAAGCAATGAAAGGCGTTTCATTTTAATGACCTTTTTGGTGACTCACCTTCTAAATAAGATAATTCAAAAATGCCTGGGGGAGAAGCCCAAACAGTGAAAGCATGAAAGAGCAAAACACATCCAGTGGCTGTGAGCACAGCAATTGGTTTGAAATGTTGAATTTAAATAGGGAAAGTCTAGAACGTTCTGCTAATAAAGCACATTGAAGTAAAGGTCAAGGGACCCTAGAAGACTGGCTAAGAGTTTGTGGCTGTATCCCAAATGCAAGGAGGAGCCCCTGAAGGGTTTCTAACAGGGAAGATGACATGATAAAAGCACATTGTTCCTATAAAACAGGTTTAACTCCCTAAATAAAATGAACTTGAAATAAACTCATGGTGCTGGGTAATCATGCCCAGAATGGGGCAATGGAAGAGAACACCTTGTTCAAAAGAAAGGTATTTCCAATAGAGAGGGAAGATATTAGCAGATGAAGAGAACAGTGGAAAGCTTTGGAAACCAGGAAATTTAAACAGAAATGCATTTAGTGAACGTATAAAAAAGTAGTAACATAATACGACAGAGATTGTAAAGCATAACAAATGCCAACATGATCAAATTTATAAAATAAAAAAATTGGTGATATAGAAGATATGAAAGGCCTAGGAGAAAGTCAGTATGCCTAGCTGAAGCTAACTACAAAGAAATTCTGGAACATAAATATACAAATACCTTTGATTTAATTATCCTTTTTAAAAAAAAAAAATCGGGGACTATAGTATTTCCACATAGTATAGCATAGTATTTCCACAAATATTGACCTAATGGGGCATGAGATTCTAGAAGGAAGGATGCTACTAAAGTGAACTTCTGGATATATAATTATGAAATTGACAACAAGGGAGGCTGGGAAGCTTGAGGTTGGGGAAATAGCAAAAGAAACCAAACTAGTCCAACTGCATATGAGACATTCTAATGAACTCAGATTTTAAGAAGTCACTTATAAAAGTAGTGCCCAAAGGAGAAAATAAGTCTACTGTTGGAAAAGAAAAAAAAAATTCCCAGATGACAGACAGAAGGCAGAATTACTAAGCTCTTGTTTTGTTCTCCCTATCATGAAACTATATCTTTAAGCTGAAATGATGAGTGAAAAAGAAAAAAAGGAAAAATAAATAAATAAAATAATGAAGCCCTGGAGAGCTTATGAGACAGACGAGAAGGTTGGTCTCTAGCTCCATACGAATAGTATTTTATTTTGCAACAAAATAAATTCTTATAGATCTGATCATGGAAGCAATGTTACTTACTAATATTTGAAAAATCACAGAAGAAAAGCAGATTCAGGCAAATATTATATCATTTTTGGGTTTTATTAAAGGAGGAATGGAAGATTCTAAAAAGATACCAAATTGTAAAAATTATATGAAATATATAATATATGAACATTTTGAAAAGACAGAAGCAACTTCTAGGAGCCAGCACCTTTTCACTTAGAATGGGCTAGGCCAAACCAACCTCCCTCTCCTTCTCCCCTTCTTTCTCTCTCTCCCCCACCCCCTCTCTCTAACTCTCTCTGTCTTTCAGAAACAATAATTAAGCCGGCAGAGCAGTGAGATCATAGACATAATACATTGATTTCAACAAGATATCTGACAAAAATCTCTCTTTGCATAAAGAAAAGAGAGAGAGATTGAGTGAGAGAGAGAGAGAGAGATTGATTCAGATCAATTCACAGTAGATCAATGAACTATACCAAAAAATAAATGTTGATCCATGAATCAATGCCACTGAGGACAGAGGTTCCTTAAGCCTGCCCATAGGACTCCATGCTTCCCTCTAGACCGTTGCATAAAACCTGGAAATCTATGTCCTAAACTCAGGGACAAAACACAAAACGAAGCAGAAGTATATGCACTTAGGTCTGAAAACTCAATTTCCCAAGTAAGGGATGGGAGAGTTTTTCTGGGCAGTAGCTTATGTAAAAATAAAAGTGAGCTCTATTGTAGTAACACGCAGCAGATGCTCAGCCTCCCTGGGCGTGGTCCAGCTAATACATGACTGTCTACATGTCCTGAGTGGGACGAAACATTTCTTCCAGCCCTAAGGTCCTGCGACTCGCATACGAATATGGATCCCTGCCTGGTGTCCTGTGTGGTGTGGTTACTGCCAAATAACTGCAGAGGAGGAAACACAGGAAAAGAGATTGAAACTTTTTCTAAAGCCACTGAGTTTATAACCGGCCACATACAAAAAAACCTTTCTGATGTTTGCTCTAATTACCAGAAAGCTCTGATCCTCCAAAATACCTAATTGTAGGGACACAACAAACCCGGCTAACCAAACCATGAGGTTAAGACGGGCAGAAAAATCTAAAAATCTCCCTACCATGACAAAAGGAACTAGAATTGCCAAATCCTATACACAAAACATTTAATTTATAACAGTTAAAACCTGGCCTCTGCCCAAGTCCAAAAGAACTATGTCTTATTTCACTCGCTCTTGAATATGTCTCTTTCAGAGATAAATGACTCCGCTCTTTGCCAATTCTCCCCTCTGTTTGGGGTTTTGTTTAGCTGGGCTTATGACAAGCCAAGAGTTGATGCATCTGCTTGAATGTGTAATTTACCTCTCTGGTCAACTTAGCTTTTTTTTCCTTGACAATATTATGTCAAACAATCACATCACAACTGGCTCTGATCTCTTTGTTGTTAGCTAATAAATTAGAGAGTATTTATTATCTGCAATCCTTTTTTCCTCTTTTAATGGTGACACATTTGTGGTGAATTACAGGGCAGCTTTATAAACTAGGCTCCAGGCCAGTCTCAGGCCCCGCATCCATGTGAACGTTCCCTCTCCCGGTTGGCCTCCGGGGCTGGTGGTAAATCAAGGCAGCTGTCACAGCACACTAAGTTAGTGTGCGTCACTGGGGAGAGCAGGAAGCGTTGGGGGTATAATTCTGTCCATCAAGCTAATATGTTATATCAGTAGCTTTGTAATCTTCGGCCATAACTTATGGGAAGTGACACCTAAGAATTCACTTTGAAGGCAATGTGTTCCTCAGACTTTAAGCCAAAACAGACCCGATTCGGAGCAACAGTTCCTCTGTTTACACGAGCGGATTTCTAGTGCTGCAGAATCGGTTCCCTATCAATGCGGCAGTATTTTACACGCCCCGCCACCGGCTGCACTCTGTTTACGGCCCTCACGGCAGGATTTGTAAACTTTTCAACCAGGATTTCTTCTCTTCTTTTTGTTACCCTTGCCTTAACCTCCAGTAGCAGGACAGATAAATATGCCCCCTGGATGCTATCATGACAAAGCGAGCCTCTGACAGACAGGAATGAATGGGCGACCCGCTTCCCTCGGCCGCACCCCTTCAACCCCTGCCTTGACAAATGTGGGAAATGGCTCTGCGGGACAGAAGGAGAACACTGGCATCGCTGTGACAGCGGTGTCAGCGTTGTGCTGCTGTTGCTCAATGTCCACTGGATACTTCAAGAAGCGAGGGGAGATAACCTCAAACAGACGCTGTACTTTCTAAGTCGTGACACCGGGGTGATCAGGCTCACATCGTAGGTCCTCTAAAAGGGGTGCCTTATTTTGGGGGGATTTGCTGTTGCATTGTCCCTGTCGCCCCCCCCACACACACCATGCGTATTGCATGCACACGCGCACACGTGTGCACACACGCACACACATTTTCGCCCCTGCCTGTTTTTCTCAGCAGGCCAATGAGTGAAGCCCTTTGGGGAAGATTAAGTAGTTCTGTGAGCTGCCATCTGATGGAAAAGAAATCTACAAGAACTGTTCAAAGGCACTCTTCCTCCCCCAGGCACAAGACTAAATATGCACAGTAAAGAAATTTGAAAAATGCCTGCCCTTGCCATCCCCAATACCCCTTTGATTGATAGCAGAGAGGGTTTGCTATGATAATTTTACTCTGACAGGTCCCAGGCATAAATCCCACAAAGTTGTTGGTCTAGTTTGACAACCTTCCAGGGCTCCAGTTAGGAACAGGAAACAGGCCTCTATTTTTCACCCTCAATGCTCCTTCAGGTGCAAAGAAAAGACCGTATGGAAAAAATAAATCCTTATCTGAGGGGGAAACCAAATTCAAAGCAGTTTTAATACTTATTCATCAGAAAGAATGTCCAACAGGGAAAGATGTGACCTCAGTCCAACTTCTTCAGTCTTAAATTTAAGTCCTCCAAATAGGAGATTTGAAACTCACTCAGGATGAGGAATTAATACTCCTTTTCCATGCATATTTTGATTTTCCAAAGTCATTTTACTTCAAGGTCAGCCTAGAAATATACCATAATTTTTTTATAAAAATCATTGCTTAAAGGTAAAAGTACACACATACCCTAATATCCATATCTGACTATCATTTACTGAGAACTTGCAGTGGGCCAGCCTCTACTCAATCCTTAATCCTTATAACCATCCACTCAATCCTTATAACCACCTTAAATGAGTAAAGTCCTGATTAATAGGAATGCAATTAAAAAGAGAGTCAAAGTAATACATCTTTTCAGCTTTCATCGTTTAGTCTTGCTTCATGAAATGTTGGGGGATATTTGAGAGCTTTGTGGCACCTTCACCCTCCCCTTCTCCACCTGAAGGATGAGGACTCACCAGTGAGAACCCTAGTCACAGAAATGACACTCAACTGGGTTGAATGAAGAAGAATGTATGGTTTGTCCTAAGTTAACTAGGAAATTAAATTAACCAGAATCCATGCTCCAAGCATTCTAGTTGATCTCATCTGAAAATACAGCATTGGTATTAACGGATCAACACCTAAGTTGACATATAGGAATAACATTTATCGGGTGTCAGGAGGGTGGGAGGGGGGAGGGGGGGGAGGAGTATATATAACCACAACAAGTAAGATGTGCAACATTTAGGGG